AAAGCCTTGAAGGCCAAGCTTTCCTCATCTATAAATAAGAGAATCAACACACACACACACACGAGATTTTTACACTAATCATTGTTATATTGCATACACGTTTTTTCCTCTATTCCGATCACTGACTTGATCGTCGGAGCTTTCCCGCCGGGAACCCCTCCCGGCGTTGCAGGTTTATTCACCGGAGTACGGACGGAGCTGGTTTGAGGAAGACGAAGACCTACGGACAAAATCACCCGATATTTGTTACAAGATGCAGCATGTTGTAGAAAAATGATATAATGCCCTTTCCAATATTAGTGCATCCATTATATCTTCATACATCTTATTTTGCCACGTGGCAGTTATTTTTAGGGTTGCTTTATTTTTTTCGACAACCATTTGTTTTCGGATATATAGATAGGGAGAATTACGGCCACCCCCTTGTTGTATGGCATCACGAAAAAACCCTCTTATTTGGGTAATTACAGCCACTCCTCCTTTTAAATATTTTTGCATAAAATTTATGTAATTCGGTTATTTATCGAACCAAATCGTATATTCAGTTCGGTAAACGGTATGAAATGTTGGCGTACCGGAATTTCGGTTCGGTTTTACTGATTTAACATTCCTAAATTTACCTCTGGAGGGTTTTTTTTATAAGATAATACATGATTAAGATAGAAACTATAATTACCCAAATATGAGGAGAGTTGCTTTTTTTTTTATTGGCAAAGCCATTTTTGGGGGTTCAACATTTGTCTAATATTGTGATTTAAGCATTTTTGAGAATCTACTTAATTTGAAGATATTTTATTTGTAATTAATTCTAAATTCAACAAATATCTCGGATCATTAATCATACATGCTATGTAGACAAGTCCAAACTTTTATTCCAAGTCAATGGGAAGAAAAAATACCAGGTCAGATTCTCCGACTAATCAATGCCATTTTCTTGGCATACAGTAAAGCTTCAATCTTTATCGCCACAAACTAAAATAAGAAAGAAAATCTAACACGGGCTTCTTTTTTATTTATTTTTTTAAAGTCATAAATTGATTTGAATCCGAATTCTTTTTCAAAGTGCAGTCAGTGTACTAAAATAAGAAAGTAAAAGATAGATAGCAGCAGCGCCAGCATATATACCAGTACTGCAAACAAAATTGCTGTTAAAAGTTTAAAAAAGAAAAAAAAAAAAAATTGAAGTGTTGAATGATGAATTGGATGAGTAGTTTTGTTGAAGTGGTGAATTGGGAAGAAGAATCGCAGCCACGTTTAAAAGATTTCGTTGTTTTCCCTGTTTTTGTCCTCTTTTTCCCTACCCTCAGATTCTTCCTCGACAGATTTCTCTATGAGGTACTTACTTCATATATATATATATATATATATATATATATATATATATATATATATATATATATATATATATAGATATATGTATATGGTGTGTCTCTAATATATTTGCTTCTCCTTTGCTGTATATATGTCGGTGAAAAATGGTTTTCACCATACATGTATCATGTATGCTAATGTCAAATTACGAAAAAACCTCTCGTGTTTGGATAATTACAACCAATCCTCAATTATGAATCTTCTTATATGTCCAACCTCACGGTATTAAATTTAATAGAATTATATGAAATATTCTCCCGTTTGTACCTGTTTTACCATCATTCGAGCTCCACATTTTGAAACAAGGTAATTATAAGATGTGTCTCTAGGCTTGTAAATATCAGATTGTGGTGCATCAGAAACTGCATTTTTGCACGAAACGAGTACAAAATAGAAACCATTTTACAGAATCGAGAAGATTATGTTTAATTTGACTCCATAAGGGCGGATGTGTAAGAAAATTCATAGTTGATGGATGGTTGTAATTACCCAACACATAAGAGATTTTTTCGTAATTTGACCTTAACTCAGGGGGTGGCCGTAATAGAATGGATGCATGTTCATGTTATTATAGCGAGTTTCATTCGTGTTTGGGAGTTTTCGATAATGTTAGGGAGGCCATTAATTGATCAAGATAAGTTGTTTGTTCTTTTTTAAGTTAATTGTGGGCTTGAATTTAATAAAAAAGAAATTTTAATTCTTCATTACTAGTGCCAGAGTTTTTAGCTGTATTGATATATTTTCGTTTCTTCGATAAATGTTTCGTTCTTGTGCACATTGATCGTGAAAGAAAAATTGCAGTGAAGAATTTTCTATACTATATATATATATATATATATATATATATATATATATATATATATATATATATATATATATATATATATATATATATATATATATATATATATATATATATATATATATATATATATATATATATATATATATATATATATATATTTTTTTTGTGAGGAAATGTGTGTGTATAAAAAAATATATGTACATATATAAAAAAAAATATATATATATATA